AGACAGAGCGAGCGAGCGAGCGCAAGGCGGGTTGCGTTTGATTTTATTTCTTCTCCGATATTCGCGCGCGTGTCGCGGCCCCCCAGTAAAACTCGCGCCGACACGCGGGTCCGCGGGGAGCCGTGAAGCGAGCGGTAAGTGACCACTCCGCAGCTCGTAACTCGAGTCCCCGTTGCTTATGGACGTGTTTTTGCCAGCGGGAAAGCCACGCCACGTGCAAGTCGCCACACAAGACAAACAAGACAAAGACCCCCACCCGCGTGTAGCCTTAACAGGCTATTTCTAGATTTGAAGCTTTCGTGACTGCAATGACTCATATTCTTAGGTTTTTTCGGTAAGGTCACGTAGGAATTTTTTTTGTTAAATTAATAAAAATAAAATAAAAATAAAATAAAAAATCACGACGTTTCGGAGGCAACGCAAGCTTCCGTCTTCAGGTGGACTTTACCGAAAAAACCTAAGAACCTTAACAAACTGTTGGGGCAAGTGCTGTTAGCGAGCACCTATGAAGGCCGGAACGGCATACGAGGGGGTGGGTGGCCAGCACCACGCTCGACTGCCTTTGTCTACCTAATAGCGATGTTTACACATTGCACCAGGTACTCATTTGAGGCTGAGTCAACCTACGGGAGGCTCGGGACCGGTTAAGATAAACGTCACTGGTGTTGGCCGTGAGCGGGACTCGTTCTCGGGTCGCAGTGTTCGTAGCGCAGCGTAGCACTAACCGCGACACTACCGCTCCCCACACACACACACTCACGCCTTTTTGGGGCCGTCCATAAATGACGTCACGCACCTAGGGGGGGGGGTCAGACATTTGTGACGATGTGTGACGAGGTGTGAGGGGGGGGGGTTGAGAAATGTGACGTCACATCAAAATGCGCAACTTTAAATAAATATAACGCCACATTAAATACGCACGACAATGACAACAGTTTAAAGCGATTTGAAGCACGTTTTATATTTTTTCTTTGGGGGGGGGGGGGGGGCAGAGCTTTGTGACGTCATTTGATGGGGGGTCTGACTTTTTGTGAGGCCGTGTGACGAAGGGGGGGGGGGGGGTCAAAAATCGTCCAAAATCGCGTGACGCCATTTATGGACGGCCCCTTTCGCAAATAGGCTTTTAGGACCACGTATTGTGGAGCAAAACTACATAAAACCCCATCGTCAAAAGCACTGCCCATAGCGATATCTCCTCTATGAAGAGAGCCATTGTCCCGAAATACCACCCATCATGATGTACTCGCCTATAGTCCGCCCAAGGGCGGGTGTATATTGCAGTTAATCTGAAATATTCTATCGAAAATATTGACCCACTTATGAATATTATTGAGGTCGGTGGGGTCCACATGAGTGACGTCATCAGCTCATGATTATTGATGAGGTGGGGGGAGCTCCATGTGGAGTGACGTCATCCGCTCATGATTATTAAGGAGGGGGGTGCCTCACGTCATCCGCTCATGATTTTCAATGAGGGGGGGTGGGGGGGCTCATGTGCAGTGACGTCACGCGCGAGTACTCGCCGACAGCTGAAATGCCCCTCAGCAGGCGTGGGGTAAAGCAGCACACGTGTCCCCGACAGAAGCAAGAGCCCTCTCCAACGTAATGGAACACAAAATAGGGGCTCTGCAAAATAATGCAAGTGGCACTTTTTGCTGTCTCGCACCCCCCTATGAAAGAGCCTCTTTGTAAACGATGTTTCTGGTATTGCCTGCTGGTGCAAAGTAATGTAAATGTTTTTTTATTGCCTACGCACGAGCATCCAACATAAAGCTGGCCATGAGAAAAGCATGGAGTTGCCAAATTCAGTCCCACCACTTTTAAAGATTGTCCTTGCGTCTTGTTAATGGACATCACAAAGCTGAGCTGGATGGGGAATTGAAGCCTCTTAAATTCCAAGACTGTGTCATTTGAGATTATAGTTACGCGAGGGAGAAAGACGTCTTGACCTTTAAAATTGGCTGTAATGATTGTCGCTTTGAGAACATTTTTTATGTAATTATTTCACAATCAACCTAGTGCCATTGCAAAGTCTAGGTGGGTCCAAGTTACTCAAGAGCAGGAAAGGTGCCCCGATTTTTAGTAGCAAGTTGTGTGGTGGGACACCCTGGGATCTGCAGAGAGTTCAAGAATTCAACAGGAGAGTGAACAATTTGGTCATGGTCCAACACTGAGTCAATAGATTTGTAGGACATGTGCTCTCCATATAATTTCTGCAACAACATAGAATTTATTCTGTGAACAGCATCATTTTTAGGAGCCAAAATGGCCCTCTCCCGTAGTCAGAGAACATCTTGAAAGTGTTGTCGCATGTTTGGGTACACTTTTTCCTCCAGTTTCTCTTGAGAAGTGCAACGAAAGGATGCCTTTAGACATGGTGATAACTCCATCTGTGACTTTAGAAATAATTCTTCCATTCCCAATATCAAGAAGAGCTTCAGCAAAGTTTCCTGCCTCTTGGTCTCCGTGGAGATATACACGCATGTAGTTAGTCTCAGTTTCATTACGTGCCTCCAGAGGAACGATGACTGGATGCAGGCATTTAACTCATCAGTTTTGGTTCCCCGAAGTACCACAGGTAAGGTTTGTCGGAAGTCACCAGCCATGAGAAAAGTGACACCACCCATAATCCTGGAATTGTCGCGGAGGTCCTGCAAAGTGGTGTTGACAGCCTCAAATGCTCCCTTGTGGGACATGGTGCATTTATCCCACACTATCAATTCACAATTAACCAGGACTTGTGCAAGGCCAGTCCCCTTTGAAATATTGCAAAGAGGGTTTTCTTCATAATATAGGTTTTTGGGTTAGATCGCAATATTTATAAATGTGTCGTAACCCTCCACCACCCGACACGGCCAAACAGTAAAAAATGTGTCACGTTTTTCAAAGGACAAAATAATTCACTTCTTTAGCCCACCGGTAATCAACAGCATAAAAAAATTTGAGTAGTACGACGTTTCGCTGATAATTACAATCAGCTTCATCGGGCAAGAATGGTGAAGCTCTCCTGTTGCTTCCGGTCTTAAATAGAGCAGCATCAGGGTGACGTCATCATTTAATTCAATTCAGGCTTTTCTTGTCGGGATAGATCTAATGGAAGCTTGCATGTGGAATGGGCAGTTCTTCCTCCAGTAAGCAGAGTTGCCGCAATCCCTGACGATGCCACAGCCAGAGCAATTTTCTCCCTCTGGCGAACCTTAGCCAGGAGCAGGTTGAGAAGAAAGGTCTTCCCAGTACCACCAGGTGCGTCAAGGAAAAATATGCCTCCATTTTTAGACTCAATGTCTTCCGAGATTTTCGTGTAGGCCTCTCTTTGTGCATCCATCAGCTTTGGTTTATTGTCCACAATACATTTTAGAAGCTGTAAACCATCATAGGATATTTTGCGTAGGTTTTCTTGGCCAAGGGCATGCAGCTTGTCACTGGAGGGTGTTGGTAGTCCGATAGACGTCACCCTGCTGCTGCTCTATATAAGAACGGGAGACAGAGCAGAGCCTCACCATTCTGGCGAATTGCCCTATGATGCTGGATGCAATTACCAGCGAAACGTCGTACTCAAAAATTGTAAATGTTGTGGTTTCTTGCTTCAACACACCGGTGGGCTAAAGCAGTGAACTATTTGTCTTTTGTCAACGTGACACTTTTTTACTGATTGGCCGTGTCGGGTTGTGGAGGGTTACGACACATTTATAAATAACGCGATCTAAGCCCAAAAACGTTGATTATGAATAGTATTGGTCGCGAAAGCCTACGTGTTCAAACAGACGTGAGGTCCTTTCCGCCAATGGAGTGAAGTTTGTCTACAAGGAGGATGAGGGCCTGGTTAAAGATGACATCAGAAGAGGTCACCTCGAGTTTGGGATTTTCTCGTTGAGCTGTGCGGAGGATGTCCTCACTCATGGCCTCTTTGCATTTTTCCCAGAGTCCCATGGGGTTAGATGGGCTGCAAACGTGAATAATTATGCAGAAGAGCGATCTCATCTGAGAAGGGAACTGACTAACAGAAGCCTCTGTCATAGATTTATCAAGATGCTGCTCATCGTCAAGAATTCCACGGAGATCGCATGCCTCCCTGTATGTTTCACAGACAACTCCTTCCACTGTTTTGAGGTCTTGGAAAATTTTTGGCCCTTTGACCAGGTGGAGCAGCATTCGCAGAAAGTAGCACTCCTGATTGTTGGGATGCACTATGTAGAGTCTTCCTAAGGCATCAGTTTCACCGTCACCAGCACGTCGCTTATTTTTTTTTTGCAGCCCATGTATCGTAGGAGGGAACTTTATGATCGAGAAGGTTGGCAGCAAATGGGTCACTTTGGCCCCAAAGAAAAAACGCCATCAGGGTTGTATCCTGTGCAGACAGGGCCTGTTCTGACCCACACACACACATCGACTTACACACATATCTCGACTCACACACACACACACATCAACCCACACTCACACGCATCGACGAACACACACACACAGCGACTTACACACACACACACATGGAGTTACACACACATACACATGCACTTACACACACATACATGGACTTACACACACACACACATGGACTCACACGCACACACATTGACGTACACACACACATCGACTGAAACACGGTTTGTGAGCCAAATCCTTCGCAAGTGTGCGTCCACACAGAGACAGACACAGACGGACAGACAAATACTGCCTTTTATAGATAAGATTTAGATGTTAAAACTCTGTGTGGTTATGCAACAACGTATTATCACCACCAGGGCAATGCACTTTTAAATAATCTAGATTGAAAATACATTCATTTTATAACTTTTTTTGTCTTACATTTCTTTGTCTACGTACGTGCAAAATAAGTTGTCGCCCTCACCAACACCACCTCGGCCTACACCTCGTCCACCCCATCCTAGCCCACGTGCCCATTGTAACATCTAACCCCACAAAGTCACATTCTCCGTCTTCTCAATTCCATCATCCCCCTTTCCCCTCCCCTACCTGCTCTGCTCTCACCCCCCCCACAGCCCCGTGGCCAGCGAGCGCGATAGCTCGGTGGTGGAGGCGCGTGCAGGCGGCGGGGGCTACCGCCTGCGGCCCGGCTGGAGGCTGCATCTCTACGTGAGCACGGCGCCGTGCGGGGACGCCCGGCTCTTCTCCACGCAGGAGAAGGAGGGTGCGTGCTCGTCGACGGTGGTGCATCAAATCCCGGCGGACCCCAGTTCGATTCCCTCTCACGGCCACCAACACCAGTGACGATTATCTAAACCGGTCATTTGGTCTCCCCTAGGTCGGCTCAGCCTCAAAATTATTACCTGGTGTGGTGTGTAAACATCACGAACCTGGCGACCCGAGTTCGACCCCCACTCACGGCCAACTGGTGACGATTATCTGAATCGGGCATGGGGGCCTTCGCTAGGGCGACGCAGCCTCAAATGAGTACCTGTTAAATTTCGATTTAAAGCTTTCGTGACTGCCCGGATTCATCTTCTTGGTTCTTTCGGTAAAGTCACGTAGAAGGGAAAGATGAGTACCTGTTGTGGGAACATCGCCACTGGGGAGACAAAGGCGGCTGGGCGTGGTTTTGTGCCGTCCACTCCCTCGTGTGCCGTGCTGGTCTTCATAGCTGCTCCCTAACATCACTTGCCCCAACAGTCTGTTCAGGCTATACAGGGGATCTTTACCTTTGTGATCCTAGCCTGGCACAAGCGCCATGTTAAACCTCGCCGCCACTTTGTGGTTGTTTGCTGTTGGACACAGTCCCATCGCTGAGCTCCTCGGGCAGGCAGACTATGTTGGCTGGATCATGAAGCACACATGCCCACCGCATATCCAGACAGCTTTTGTTTGGCCGGATAGAGGCAACTAAACGGGCGCAGCACGAGCTAGAGAGGAGATGTTGTGATGTATGCGAGAATATTGAGCTGATTGAACTTGCAAATGACTGGTACCAGCGGTGTCAAGATCGGCCTCTGGGGAGAAGGCTCGTGAAGGACGTTACTGGGCAGTTGGAGAGAGTCGCCCTCCAGAAAAAACAGAGGGCAGAGGAGCGACGCTCACAACAACGAGAGGAGCGCCGGCCGTCTAAAACGCAGCAAGTTGGCACAGTAGGGGGCACAGGCATTGCATCGGCCAGTCATCTCAGTCAGCCAACCCATGGCACCTGGGTCTGTCCTGTGACCTGCCAGCGAGCATTCGACACTTCACGTGGCCTGAAACTGCACCTGGTCTGACACAAGTGCCATGGTGACGTCACCGCCACATAGTGGCGAACGGGGGTTGTTGTTGTTGTTGTGTTAAAAGAACTCGAGAAAGAGGTTGGTTTGGGCCCAAGTTGTTTGATGACGAGGTGAAGGATGCGTATGGTGGGAGATTCACGGGGGGAGGGGGGGGGGTTAAAGGGAGGAATGAAATGGTGGAGGAAAGGAGAGTAAACAAAATAGGAGGGATCGATGGAAGGTATAGACCCACACTTTACCCTGCCAAAAGTGTCGCTCTCTGACCTCCCCGTGCCGCAATGCACCGATGTTCCCATCCGCCGAACACGCGGGCCGATGCTCATTAGAGGCTTCAAGCACCCATGACGAGGAATCGAACTCATTCCCATTGGATCGAGGCTGCCGTCGGGAAAAGTGGAGCGTCAAGTGAGAATGGGGATGAGAACCGGTTGGAGGTAGACCACTCCGGGCCTCTCGCCCACCAATCACGAACCCTCCCGCGTTCCCAGCCGCCCCGCTTGACGTCAATACTCGGTTTCTTCGGCTGCTCAAACGGTCATGGATCATAATAACCCTGATGGGAATCTCGACGTAACTCCGATAATTGACAAATTCAATTCACGCCCTGCGTTTTTAATTTCCCTGCGTGGACATGGCGAAGCGGGATTGCCTTCCGCGTAGAGCGGACGGCGGCCGAGAGTGAGACTTGGACGACCAGCGAAACATCGGGGGGACCTGGTTAGCACGAGGCACGGGTTTAGAGTTAGGGTCACGTGTACAGCGGTCTGAACATTTAGGTTTTAGGCCAGGGTTATGGCAAGTATTAGGGGTAGAGCTTGACCTAGTGGCACGGTTGCCTAATCGCCTACTTGCTTCGTTACCCAGTTTTTCCACAATTATCTAGTTACATTATTATTGGATTATCCAGTTACCAACTTGCTGAGTTGCTTAGTTCTGCAGTGAATTATTTCAAGACCCAATTATACCTGAGTGTTGCACCATGTGTGGGATGATGATGATGATGACCGGGGCTGCATGTTCCACCACGTGACGGATGATGATGATGATGATGACTGGGGCTGCATGTTCCACCACGTGACGGATGATGATGATGATGACCGGGGTTGCGTGCTGCACCACGTGTGGGATGATGATGATGATGATGACTGGGGCTGCATGTTCCACCACGTGACGGATGATGATGATGATGATGACTGGGGCTGCATGTTCCACCACGTGACGGATGATGATGATGATGACCGGGGTTGCGTGCTGCACCACGTGTGGGATGATGATGATGACCGTGGCTGCGTGCTGCACCACGTGACGGATGATGATGATGATGACCGGGGTTGCGTGCTGCACCACGTAACGGATGATGATGATGATGATGACCAGGGTTGCGTGCTGCACCACGTGTGTAATGACGATGATGACTGAGGCTGCATGCTGCACCACGTGTGGGATGATGATGATGACTGGGGTTGCGTGCTTCACCACGTGTTGGATGATGATGATGATGATGACCGGGGCTGCGTGCTGCACCACGTGACGGATGATGATGATGATGATGACCGGGGCTGCGTGCTGCACCACGTGTGGGATGATGATGATGACTGGGGTTGCGTGCTTCACCACGTGTTGGATGATGATGATGATGACCGGGTTGCGTGCTTCACCACGTGACGGATGATGATGATGATGACGATGATGGTGACGACTCGCGCTGGTAATGCAGTCGGCGCGGACCGGCACCCGAGGCGGCGTGCTCGGGGCCAGCTGCGCACGAAGCTGGAGTGCGGCGAGGGCACGGTGCCGGCCCGCCGCTGCCAGGAGCCACAGACGTGGGATGGCGTCCTCCAGGGAGAACCCCTCCTCGCCATGGCCTGCAGCGACAAGATCGCTCGGTGAACAAGCACCGCGACAACGGCAAACAACTGATCTCCAGCCACCGCCGTCTTTCGCCACTATGTGGCGGTGACGTCACCACGGTGCTTGTGCCAGGCTAGGTGCATTCTAGATTTGAAGCAAGGATTCATATTCTTAGGTTTTTTTTGGTAAAGTCACGTAGAAAAATTAAAATTAATAAAAGTAAAATAAAATAAAAATTACGACGTTTCGGAGGCAACACAAGCTTCCTTCTTCAGGTGGAACGGTCACAGCACGATAGCTAGACCTAAGAATATGAAGGCTCGGTGCAGTTTAAGGTCACAATACGTTGTCGAAGGCTCGCCGACAGGAGGTCACGGGAAGAGGCCCGGATGTTATGGGTTGACTGACTAGGAAGTGACTGACTCACTCTTCCCAGATCAGCACGCTCGCACGCAAAAGACAAAGATCCCCCATGTAGTCTGTAACAGTCTGTAAGGGCAAGTGCTGTTAGCGAACAACTATGAAGGCCAGCACAGCACACGAGTGGGTGGGTGGTCAACACCACGCCCGGCCGCCTTTGTCTACCTAATGGCGATGTTTACACATCACACCATTTACTCATTTGAGGCTGAGTCGACCTATGGGAGGTCAAAGACCGGTTCAAATAATCGTAACTGGTATTGGTCGTGAGCGGCAATTGCACTTAGGTGGCGAGGTTCGTAGCGCAGTGCGCTAACCGCGACACGATTGCTCCCCACGCTCGCAGACACGCACACACACAGGTACACACGCGCACAAAGGCACAGATTTCCAACGTATGAGTGCCGTTAGCGAGCACCTACGAAGGTCAACCAGGCACACCAGGCTGTAATATCGATAGCATGGAGCCTCTGTCTCTCCAATAGTGATGTTTGCACACTGCACCAGTTACTCATTTCAGGCTGAGTCGACCGAGTGGAGGCCCAGTAAAAGGCCACAAAATCTCCAACCGTCATTGGTCATGTTGACCAACCCCCACTCTCTTGCGAGCTCGCTAACAGCACTTTCCCCAACATCCTGTTGAGGCTACACGGAGGATCTGTGTCTTTTTGCTTGTCAGAGGAGAAGGGAGGGGAGAGGAGTTGGAGCAATTGGTGATCACGCCATGCCGGCTGCGAGTGTCGCTCCGCAAAGCTTTGAGCGCGTCGCAAAAGATTACACGGCACAGTTTAAGCAGATCGGGCGACTTAGAGGCAGCTCGGGTTAATGGAAGAGTCCGGGGGATTGCGGTGCAGGAGGCAGATGTGAGGAGTGCTGTGTAGGGGGCTTTTTGAGGAGCCATGAAACATAGGTTTGCTTTTTTTACAGAAAGCACGGCACGACTACACAAGCCCATTCTAGATTTGAAGCTTTCGTGACTGCAAGGATTCATATTCTTAGGTTTTTTCGGTTAAGTCACGTAGGTAAAAAATTAAAATTAATAAAAGTAAAATAAAATAAAAATCACGACGTTTCGGAAGCTTGTGTTGCCTCCGAAACGTCGTGATTTTTATTTTATTTTACTTTTATTAATTTTAATTTTTTACCTACGTGACTTTAACGAAAAAACCTAAGAATACACAAGCCCATTTCCACTTTCCCCACCCCCGTAGAGCTTAAACCGCGAGCAAAGTCAGAACCGCTCCCCTCCCACCCAGGTCTCCCTCTCTCTTTCTCTCTCGCCGCACGGTCATCTGCAGGGTTTCCACACATACACACACAAAAGATCCCCGTATATCCGACATAGACGTGTGGGGCAAGCGCCGTTAGCGAGTAGCACCTAGAAAGGTTGGAACGTCAGCACGAAGTGGTGTTGTGGCTAGCACTACGAATTTGTCTCCCCAGTGGCGATGTTTACACACAGCACCAGGTACTCATTTGAGGCTGAGTCGACCTAGGGGAGGCCCGTGACCTGTTCAGATAGTCGTCACTGGTGTTGGTGGTTAGCACACTGCACATAGCGCAGTGTGCTAACCACCACACTACCGCTCCCACACTCACATGTAAACACATACACGTATATAATATACGAGCGGGAAGTACCGGCATTGCCCCAGCGAAAAAGACACACACATACATCGACTTACACACACAGACATCGACCCACACACACAAACACATCGACTTACACACACACACATATGGACTCAAACACACACATCGACTCACACACACATCGACTTACACACACACACACATGGACTTACACACACATCGACTTACACACACATTTGTTACTTTTCTATTTACCAACTCAGTTTGTAAAGATTAGTTTTCTATGTACGTAATGTTAGGGAAAGAACCAATGAAGAGGGAAAATGCAAACAATTGCTAATGCACCTTAGAGGAGCAGTACACTGTAATCAAAAGTGAAGGTCATACTTCAATTGTATGATACACCTTCATGTTGTATTGAATGCTACGAGTCATAAGTAAATGGTTAATGGGATAAAAAGACGTAAGTATTTGTACTGTAGTTTGTATTACTGTTGTTTTAACGGTGCTGTAGTAAGGCGCTTGAGGAAGCACAGTCGATATTTATTCTTTGGTTCTTTCGGTAAAGTCACGTATAAAGATAAAATAACAAAGTAAATTAAATACTAGCATACGACGTTTCGATTGCAACACAAGCAATCATCATCAGGTATAAATTAAATAGGAACACAAATCTAGTATACTTAGAAATCAATTTATACCTGATGATGATTGCTTGTGTTGCAATCGAAACGTCGTATGCTAGTATTTAATTTAATTTATTATTTTATCTTTATACGTGACTTTACCGAAAGAACCAAAGAATAATTCCTGCAGTCACGAAAGCTCCAAATTAAGTTTAGTCGATATATAAATTGTAATAGATAAATGGGCTAAATGGGTAGAAGGGAGGAGGCAGGGCAGGTAATGGCCATGGCGATATAAGAACAGCGCGCGTGCGGTGCCGCAAACAACCGCTGGCAGGCAGTCCACCGACAGGACACTTGGCAGGCAAGGAGGCAGGCAGGAGACTTGGAGATGGAGCGATGAGATGTGGGACGGCGAGGAAGCCGCGCTGCATGAGCGCCATCACCAACAGCCGCCGGCAGGCCATGCCACCGAAATGTTGGCCGGTAGGCGCGGGTGCAGGCAGGAGACCCGGGAAGGAAGCGATGTGAAGGCCACACAGGGCGGCGAGGTGTGAGCGTGGCTCAGCGAGCACCGGCCGACAGCAGGCGTGGGGTAAAGCAGCACACGTGGGAGGGGAGACGCGCCCCCAACCAAAGCAAGAGCCTCTCCAATGTAATGAAACACAAAATAGGCCCTCTCCAATATAATGAAACTGCCACTTATTGCTGAGCCGCACCCCCCGCTATCAAAGAGCCTCTTTGTAAACGATGTTTCTGGTTTTGCCTGCTGGTGCAAAGTGATGCAAATGTTTTTCATTGACTACACGAGAGCATCCAACATAAAGCTGGCCATGAGAAAAGCACGGAGTTGACAAAATCAGTCACACCATTGTTAAAGATTGTCCTTGCGCCTTGTTAATGGACATTGCAAAGCTGAGCTGGATGGGAAATTGAAGCCTCCTAAAATGAAAGACTGTGTCGTTTGGCATCAGAGGTATACGAGGGAGAAGGACTTCACCTTTAGAATTGCCTGTAATGATTGTAGCTTCGATAACATGTGAATGTAATTCTTAGACAATTAACCTCGTGCCATTGCATAGTCTATGTGGGTCCAAGTTTCTGAATAGCAAAACGGGTGCCCCGATTTTTAGTAGTAAGTTGTGTGGAGGAACACCCGTGAGCTGCAGAGAATTCAAGAATTCAACTGGATAGTGAACAATTTGATCATGGTCCAACACTGAATCAATAGATTTGTAGGACTTGCTCTCTCCAGGTAATTCGTGCAACAGCATGGAATTGATTCTGTGAACAGCATCATTTTTAAATCCTTTATATTAAGTTCACTTGCTTGCTTGCGCGCTTACGACCGTGCACATCTTTTGGTCGTTTTTTAACCCACTTCCTGAGATCCAATCGAGCTGACATTTTGCACACAGACTCGTTGTGCGTGACAATATCTTTTCGTGAAATTTTTTTTTCAAAATTTTACACTTTTTAGGAAATGTTTTTTATATTTAATTACCAATTGCTTAATGGTGCCAAGCAATCATCTGACCCATAGGTGGCAGCCATCTCAAGCCAGAGGACGAGAGAACTCTAGCCGCCACACATATAAAGGATTTATAGTGAAAAACTTAGTTTTTTTACGGGTTAATTTTTTAGGAGCCAAATGGCCCTCTCCCGTAGCCAGCTAACATCTTGAAAGTGTCGTTGCATGTTTGGGTACACTTTCTTCCCCAGTTCCTGTTCTGTAGTGGAAAGGTATGCCTTTAGACATGGTGAGAAGTCCATCTGTGCCACATTTCTCACATTAACATCACTAGCCCCACCCACTTCGTTTATGACCCTTGGGCTACACCCATTTCAAACCTCTAAAACAGCCTGCCTCATCAGCTTTCCCACCTCTTTTTTCTCCTGATGAAGATTGCTTGTGTTGCGATCGAAACGTCGTAGTTTTTTCTTTAAAAAAAATGTGTTCTACATGACTTTACCGAAAGACCCAAAAAAATATGAATTCCTGCAGTCACGAAAGCTTTAAGTCAAGATTTAAATGTAAACAAACTGATAATAGTTAGTTGAAGGGAGCTGTGAATCCGTGTGTCCAAACGAAAGAGAAATCCCCCCTCACCCCAAATGAACTTGGTAGGGGCCCTCCCACCCACGGGGCGCGTGTGAGTTGGTATGATCGAGCGCGCGCTAGCTAATAAATGAATAACCCAAAACAGCACTAAATGGCGAATTAAACCACTTTAAAGGTGACGGACGCGAAATCGTAAAATAACGGTGGCTCAGCACGGGGCTTGTGGCGTGCTACCCGGCTATTTTTTAAATCCTTTATATTAAGTTCACTTGCTTGCTTGCTTGCGCGCTTATGACCGTGCAAATCTTTCGGTCGTTTTTTTACCCACTTCCCGTGATCCAATCGAGCTGACATTTTGCACACAGGCTCGTTGTGCGTGACAATTAATTTTCGTGCAAATTGTTTCCAAAATTTTACACTTTTTAGGAATATTTTTAAATATGTAATTACCAATTGCTTAATGGTGGCAAGCAATCATCTGACCCATAGGTGGCAGCCATCTCAAGCCAGAGGACGAGAGGACTCTAGCCGCCACGCATATAAAGGATTTATAGTGAAAAACTTTTTTTTACGGGTTAATTTTTTTTCCGTCAAGTCCACGGTTCGCGAGCCAAATCCTTCGCAAGTGTCGGGCCCGCACACACACAGACAGACAAACAATGACATTTATAGGTTATAGAAGAGAAGAATATGGGGGTGGGTGGGGGGACGGAGCAGTGCATGGATGCCCTAAGCCAAAGCCATAAGGTCTCATTATAATCCGGGGTTCGCACTTGAGCAAATACATTTAGGGCTTGGAGAGAGATTGCAGATTTGTTTGCGATGCTTGCCGGCACGCGTTGGCGAGGGTGGCAGGAGGGGGAGAGGGACGAGGGATATTGCAAAGCGACGGGCGGATGAAGAGGTGTAGAGGTCGTGGATCGCACGCCTCGCGTGAGCTCAACGCCGCACCGTGCACGCCCTCAATGTGATCTCTTGACGTCACGATGGGGGAGAGAGAGGTGGTGATGGAGGGGATCTCAGTGGGTGAGGGGGGTGTATGTACGTTGAACTTATTTCGCACGTGCTTAGCCAACCGTGCTAATCCGAGATGCGGGGGGCAGGTCAACAAACTAAACACCAAAAGCAGATTATGTTTTCCCCTTTTTTTTGGCAACAAAACAGTTGTGTTAAGATGTTAAAACACCAAACTGAAACCTTTGACAAGGAATCATGTCTGCATTAACCACAATGCTTGTGGTCAGAATGCAAACAAAACGTATTCTGATAGTATATGCATTGTCTTTGAAACTGATTGGTCCATACCAGAGACAGCTTTCTTTTGAGCCTAGTCTCAAAACGGTGTTAGAACAGAGGACGCAAAAAGGCGTACAGCACAAAGACAACGCACTATCAGAGTAATGAGAGCTCGGGGTGAGCATCTACATCATGGGACCTCCTTTGCCAGTACCAAAAATATGAGAATAAGTTTTCCCCTTTTTTCTGTCAACAAAATCTATTACTATTTTTATTTCACCAGGTAAGACCCACTGAGGAATAGAGATATTTTTCAGAAGCAACCTGGCCACATGTGATAATGAAGTGGCTGATCATGTGGAAATGTATAGCAGCCAAATACTCGAAACGGATGTTTCTCAATGTGGAGGAAAAATCCGGAGGATCCGAATCAAAATCCATGCACCCACGGCGAGAAAGATACACAATCTCCAAATATGCAGGCGTCACGGTCGGGATCGAACCGATGACCCTCCTGTATACCGGGCGAGGTAGTTAACATCTCGCAGTCAGACGTGGGACAACACTGAGCATTGCGTGCGCTACTCGGCAGGCAGCTGTCACGTGCGGTGCCTTGTGCGTTGGGTGACTGTGTGGTCGATGCTACGCGATTTCGCTTTGTGCCCTTTCTTTAAATCCTTTATATTAAGTTCACTTGCTTGCTTGATTAGGACCGTGCAAATCTTTCTGTCGTTGTTTAACCCACTTCCTGTGATCCAATCGAGCTGACATTTTTCACACAGACTCGTTGTGCGTGACAATTAATGTTCGTGAAAAAATATTTTCCAAAATTTTACACTTTTTAGGACAAAAATATTATATTTAATTACCAATTGCTTAATGGTGCCTTGCAATCATTTGACCCATAGGTGGCAGCCATCTCAAGCCAGAGGACGAGAGGACTCTAGCCGCCACGCATATAAAGGATTTATAGTGAAAAACTTTGTTTTTACGGGTTATACTTGTTTCGGATCGCATCTCTCGCATAAGGCGAGAGAAACCTGTATAGTGGGTTGATGGTCTCAGCCCGATCAGAAAATGCTACCCTTACATTCATGTTAAATGTAGTTTATCAATTAATTTTGCTGAAATTCGACCTCTGAAAATAAAATTTTAAAAATGTCATCGTGACAAACGATATTTGCAGGGCATAGAGAATGTGTATTTTTAGTGTGAATGAATAGCTCTATACATTAATAAATAGCCTATAACCAAAGGTGGAGTAGTGGCACAGCAGTTAGCGCACTAGTCTTTGAATACGATGGACTGAATTCAATTCCCGAGCCAACGGCTAACATCAGTGGCGAGTGATAGCCCCCCCCACCCCCCACACTCCCGTTTTCCCTACTTGACCAACCCGCACTGACCAGCCTATGGTCTGTCAAATAGTGGCATCCATCCAGCAGTGGATGGACCAAGAAGCAGTGAATTACTTTCTTTTTTGTTACATTCACGCGGAACTGGGCTCAAATCAACATCGGCTGCTGCTGCTGCTGTTCCTGTGATGTTTCGCTCAGCCGGGAGCTGCTGCCGTGAGCTTCAGCGACTCAGGGGTAAACAGCGGCGCGCAAATTAAAATATTAATCGGACAAACAGCGCAAAGAGTGGATTTGGCAAAATCCCTGGGTATTCTGCCAGGGCGAAGGATCCGATTGGCATCGCTGCAACGCACGCTGGTAAACGTTTATTTAACGCCGCCTGCTATTTTTTGATAATGCCGTTAAAATATAGTCGGACGCCACGATTCAATAGTTTCGTAATTTAGTTTGTCTTGCAATTTTTATTCGGTTTACGTCGTGAGAACTTTTTTTATTTTTGTCAAGTGAAGAATTAATTGAAATGTAACTCAGATATCCCCCTTACAAGGGTGAATGTCGTCGAAATGAGTTCTCGCCTGCTTATACAGATAGTTGATGGTGCTATTGATAATGCCGTCTAAATGGGTTCTCACCTGTTTCTATAGATAGTTGACGCTGCTATTGATAATGCATTGCAGATCTCTTGTAAACTGACCAGTCTGGGTCGGACTTGACAAGTTTCGATTTAACCAACACATTTTCTATCCACATTCTACTGTGCTACAGAGCACCGCTGTATATGTGTAAATCACCGACTCTGAGCCCAGTAAACTCCCCTGCATACGCGCTTAACACGTACTTTACCCACTGAAGGTAGTTTTTCCCATCCGATTTTTGGTGAAAACTTACACGGATTCTTCCATCTCCCACAACGACGTTATCATGGCCCTCGGTCCTGCACACGGTCGTACGTGGTGCTGTCCGTGGTGCTGTCCGTGGTGCTGTCCGTGGTGCTGTGCGTGGTGCTGTCCGTGGTGCTGTCCGTGGTGCTGACGATGGGGAGCGGTGGTGCAGTGGTCTGCACCCTCGGCTACGAACCTGGCTACCTCGATGTCCTTCTCAACCACACGGCTGTCTCTACAGTTCCATCTCGTGACCTCCCTTCCACGAGCAGTGGCATGAGCAAGCAATAGCAGGGATGTGCCTTTAGGGGCCATCCATTTAGTACGTACGAAAAAATCTGTCAAAACTTGACCCCTTCCCACTCCCTGTACCCACGCGTACTTTTTACACCCCCCCCCCCACCTGCGTACGTACGATTGACGCACCCCCCCCCCCCCCGAATCCTATAGAACGGCCGATATTTAATCCACGCAGAACGATCAAGGATTAATAATATTAACGTGTTTAAGCAAACAGTCCACCGCCGGAATATCCAACTCATTTGAAGGCCAATGTCGACAAATGATTATCGAAGCTTCACCTCCCCCCACACCCCCGTTTCCTATGCGCACGTACATTGTCAGTAGACCCCCCCCCATACCGAAGCGGACGTATTTGGGTTAACCCCTCCTCCCCCTCCAAGCGTACGTACTAAATGGATGGCCCCTTACCACCGTTACCACCTTTCCCACACTTACCAGTATTTATACCGTTGTCGTTGTCATCGATGCGTGCGTGCGTGTCTGGGTGTGTTTGGTTGGGTGGGGGCGGGAGGAAGGGGGAGCCTAGCGGTTCGCGCTACGCTGTACTACGAACCCGATGATCCGAGTTCGATTCGCCCACAAACACCAGTGACGATTATCTGAACCGGTCATGGGCCTCCCCTAGGTCGACTAAGCCTAAAGTGAGTACCTGGTGCGGTTGATAAACATCGCCACTCGGGAGACAAATTCGGTCGGGTGCGTGGTACTGGCCTCCCACCCTCTCGTGTGCCACAGTGCCGGCCTTCACATGTGCTACTGACGAACAGCACTTGACCCAACAGGTCTGTTACAGCAGCCCTTTTGCCCACTTCAGCAATTGTTTCTTTCTGTGGTTGTCCCACCTGATGACGGACACTTGTGTTGGGCCCGAAACGTCGTGATTTAATTTATTTTATTTCATACCCACGTGACCTTACCGAAAGAACCAAAGAGGATGGATCACTGCAGTCACGAAAACTTCAAATCTAGACAGGTCAGTTAAGGCAATACGGTGGGTGGAATCTCTGTCTTGCGCGTGTGTCTCTGTGCAGATGGAACGTGCTGGGCGTGCAGGGCGCGCTGCTCAGCCGGCTTCTGGAGCCCATCTACCTGCACGGCCTGGTGCTGGGCAGCCTCTACCGCCCCCAGCACCTGTGGCGAGCGGTGTGCACGCGCGTGCGTGGCGTCACGCACCTTCCCGGCCCCTACCGCCTCAACGCGCCGCGCCTCGCCTGTGAGTCTCTCACGCGCACGCTCATGAACCGCCCTCGGGTTCTCAGGTCGAGATCGAGACGTCATCGTGGCCACGGCGATTGAGACCACCCACCGCAGAAGAATGGGATGTTATCTTTAAAAAAAAAATCGGAATCTTTATTTCGACTGGAGAAATCCGATTGAGGTCTGAAGCTCTTTTTGACAGATCTCAAATATACTAATAGGGTTTTTCCCCCTTTTTTCTGGCAACAAAACTGACACCTTTTGCAAGGAATCATGCTTACATTAACCACAATATTTGCAGTCAAATGCAAACAAAAACAATACTCTGATAATTTATGCATTGTCTTTGAAACAGATTGGTCCACACCAGAGACAGCTTTCTTTAGAGCCTGGTCTCATATGGTGTTCGACCAGATGACGCCAAAAGGCTCAAATAGTTTTCACAGATGCCCAGTAGACTGCACCTTCAGATCCCACAGCAGCTGCTGCACGGTAGAGACACACGGCACATTCGTGTATTTACGTATCATTTTACTTTATTGTTAGCTCTCTGTGCAAAATAATGTTTAAAAAATTCAAAATTCGTAGATATACGCAGCGACATCCCAGATATACCCTGACAGTGTCATCCCACCATCTGTTCTTGGACTCAAACAAAAACCCATAGACTCACCGAGAAACTCATACATTCAAACAGGAACCCACAGACCCATGTATCTGTGCTCACAATCTAATCCTCTCAGTCGCGGACCTCAGGAATACCACTCCAACGTCTGTCTCGTCTATCCCCCCCCCCTGCATCTCACCCTGCACACGTGTCCCACCCAGCGCAGCCGTTTTTTTGCCAACTCACATCGACAACAATCTTCCAGACTTGTGCATTGAGTCTTCCGTCTTGCCACACATTTCCGAGCGTCTGTCATAGACGCCTGGGCTCAAATGCCAGCAACTTATTTTCGAGGCGCTTACTAAGCGTCCATCTCTCTGATCCGCACGGTGACAAAGACAACACTGATGCCCCAAACACCATTCTCTATAGGCTCAGGCGTTCTTCTCTGCTCTTCCCCAGTCATCAAAATATAAACAAATACACATTTATTCAATTTCTCTCTTGGCATTCCAAACCAAATATTACGATCCAGCAGCATTTTTTTTTCAAGTAAGAAAGTTCTGGACCGGAATTTACCCTAAAACGATATTGTCTAATATTCAAATAAACATTTAACGTTGGTTGAACGTTGTCCCAACTTTGGATCAACGGTTCCAACCACATTCTAACGTTTTCCTGACGTCGCCATGTTTATTGTGATACTATGTTACTCTTCTTCAACGGCCTTTGTCCCAAAGGAAGCTCTCACGGTGACCTTGCTGCCACACACATTCGTGATCTAGGATTACATCTCTTCAAGAAAGCCATTGTTAGCATTCCCCGCCTTTGGAGGTACCGATTAAGCAGCTGTGGGCCGATGGCTTTAACGGCGCCCCCCCTCCTGTTCGCTGGGACGTTCATCAGACAACCACTAAACAACGCTTATTTGTAATGTGCCCCACAGACAATTAGGTTCGGCTCGGGGCTTCGCTGATTTACGCTCGAGCGTTAAAAGCGTGCGGCTCACCAGACACCCGCACACATTTTCCACCGTGGCTGATAAAGAAGTGGTGGGGGGGGGGCATTGTAGAGAATCGTACACAGGCCGCCGAGTTACGAACAGGGCCTGCCTCGCACGCGTGCGATCTCTACGTACAGAGCCAAGTTATATGCCACGGAAAGTCATGTAAAGGATGTAACGCCAAATTGGATTCGTACAAAAAAAAACACGATTGGAGAAGATTTACAAAATGTAACCAAATTAATAAACTCAACAATTTTTTCTTAACTAACCTATTTTTATTTTACCAAGTAAGGTCCACTGAGCTGTAGATATTTTTTTCGGAAGCGACCTGGCCACAAATGATAGGTCAACGAAGTGGCTTATCAACGTGAACATTTAATACAGCCAAATGCTCTTAAGTTATGAAGACAATATAATGACCGTCTACAGATGTAATGCGAATGTGTATACAGACCTTTGGTCAATCCATCGCTGGGTAAGGTAGACGACATATCGAGCTATATCTACTGCTGGATGAAGGCCGCCTCTTGCTGTGCCGGATATGGGGGCTACCTGACTATACTTCACTACGTTGGTCAGATCCAGGCACAGCTCGGAGATAATTGTTCAAGTGTAAACTGTACTTTGTTTAACCGCGTGGGTGAGAACTCAAGAGAGACCAGGATAGAGTGCCATTTGCAAGAGGTCACCTTTATTAGCAAAATTATAAAAGCAAAACAATACGGCAATCAATCGAGAATATAAGTAAAAACAAAAACAGCTGCCGTGGCACTTGAGCCACTGATGTTAGCCGTGGCCACATATAAAATCAGCTGTCTGCCAGGGTCATAGTGCCAGTGCCCTAACCGCTGCGCCACCGATCCACTCCCAAAACACGAGACACATGAAGCAAAGCAATCTACGAAATTATATAAAAGAGCAAACCCTGAACGGATATCGAAAATGCCAAAGTTGGATTTTTTTATTTCTTCAAAAACTCACCACTCAATTATGGGGACATTTTGGCCTTCTGTTTGCCGTCGTCACAGAACATTTTGGTACCATCGATAGCTCCGGCCCCCACCGCCGCTTGTAAATGAGTGACGTAACGAGCCGGGGGAGTGTGTGGGGGGGGGAGGGGATTACGGCAGCGCCCGAGCGAGCGCCGGCTAAGCCACCATGGAACGAGTCGCGTCCATCCGCCCCGCACGTCGCTTCCACCACGACGACGCGTGCTGTAGCGGACAATCCGATTCAAGTCTCCCCCCACAAACCATCCACCGCCCCTCCCCCTAAGCGCCCCCCAAGCGCCCCCCCCCCCCCCCCGCGCCAATCAACGAAGTCCCCCGCGTCCAAGCCGCAGCTGCTGCAGCTGCTGGTGGCTGTGTGAACCTGACGCGTCTTTAGGTAAAATTGCCCTCCCTTGAGCTGGTGGTTGTACACCAGCGGGTAGCTCGTGTCGATCCACTGCGAGTTGTGGGCGATGTTTAACCACGCTTCACGGGGAGCATGGAAGTACAGGACAGTATCGCAATGGATGCTGTTGTACGGCCCTGTTGTCTAAACCCCAAAGGTTTCAAATATGTGGCGACCCTCAGCAATAATGTGGTGAGGGTCGCCACACAAGAATCTCCGCACCCTACCCAAGCAAACGACCCACACACCCCACCCGGTCCAATACCCCACCCAATAACTCAGCCAGCGAACACACAGCCACCGAACAACTCATCCACCCCAACAACCCCAACTCGAGCTGACAAAACGTCGACACATTCCCCCCCCCCCATGCTCCCCGCACAGCCCCCACCCACCCCCCTCACACAGACCCCCCACCTCCCACACATCCCCACCCCATCCCCCCCATGCTGCCCCCCCCACCGCGTACAGCCCCACCCCACCCTCCCTCACAGTCCTACCCAACTCCCTCCACACAGCCCCCACCTCCATACAGCCCCCCCCCATACAGCCCACCCCCCACACAACCCCACCCCACCCTCCCTCACAACCCCTCCCCCCCATACAGCCCTCCCCCCGCACAGCCCCACCCCACTCCTCCCACACAGCCCCCACCCCCAATCAGCCCCTCCCCATACAGCCCACCCCCCGCACAGCCCCACCCCACTCCCCCCACACAGCCCCCACCCCCACACAGCCCCCACCCCCATACAGCCCCCCCCCCCCCCCACACAGCCCCCACTGCACCCCAGGCGTCTCAAGGACGCTCCGCCACTCCCCCCCCCCACAGCCCTTCCCCCCGCCCCCTCTTGCTGTGGTAATTAACGATAAGATCCCGGCGGCGCTAATAGGAATGGACCCGTCGTCTTATCAGTGCCCGGGTTATCTGGCGTAATGAAGGCAAGCGGCACAGGCTAATGCGATTTCAAGGATTGCAGATGGAGATAAGATGTGTGGAGGGTGCTATTTCAAGCGCAATTGTTGCTACAGAATCATCATCATCAGCAGCGGCAGCATTACGATGATGAGCATTAAACATCGTGCATTAAGACAAATAAAATAGGGGTTAGGCTGCGTAGATTCGTCACGTGATTATGATCGGTAGAAGCCATGCACAATCCACTGCTGGATTAAGGGGTCCCCGACCTGTCACCCCACGTCTCACTGTTCTGCGGTGCGACATTCGCAACAAGTACCTGAACGTCGAGCTCATCACATTGTCACATTCCCGGGGTGGCTGCTACTCCGTTCTTAGCCTCGACCATCGGCCACTCTTTCCAAGGCCGTAATTATAATGTTATAAAATATATTATTATATGCTCAAAATGTCCCCCTCCAATATATTGCTATAAAAATAATTGCTATGCTATGTAAATAAAAACAACAATTTGCTAAACCTTTGCCACAATATCTGGACTTGTCTTCATATAAATCAATGCGTAGATTTCTGTTTGTATGATTGTGGTTATGGTTGTACTTTAGTAATCCATAATCTCTGCCATTACATACAATGAAACAAGAAGTGGTAAAAAAGTAAAAACAGAGCAATGTAATACAATACACTATTAGACATTATTGTAAAAAAGTCTATCCCATGTGTTAGTGAATTTTTTTATATTTTAGGCAGGAAATTAGTTTTCAAATTTAGATATTTTTCTGGGTTGGGACCCCCAGACACACTGAAAGATTTGGTCCCCCCCAATACTGACTCCATGGCTACGGCCTTGCATCATTCTATCCAGCGACGCGTCCTGCCGACGCCCACTTCACTTTTCTTAACAGTCGATGTGATTGTGTCTGAGCTGCGTGCATCCTCCAAACCACGTGGTCCTCTCTCTGGCTCTCAAACGTCATTTGAAGCCTGCACCTCGCCACGTGTCAGCTCTTGTTCGCCTATGCTTTATCAATGGCCTGATCCATATGTTTATTCCATATCTCCACAAACGAAGTGAGAGATTGTTTTGGCCTA